CAGATGGTAGTGTTGGATCCCCGACCTTGGAGTCCACCTGGCTGGTGAGGATCCTGGCTCTGCCTCCTTCTTATAGCACCGCCTTTATGCTTCAGTTGCTACACTGAAAAATAATAGGGTTTCCCTGGTGGCTCCAGAAGTAGAGAATTGACCTATGATGCAGGAGCTGCAGGAGAAGGGAGTTCGATCCTGGGTCTGGAAGATCCCCACGCACTCCAGTATTCTTGCTGGCACTGTCCCATGAACAGAGGGGCCTGGTGGGCTTCAGTCCACGGGGCTTCAGAGAGTTGGACCCAACTGAGCATGCATGCCAGAGAAAACCACCTCACTTGTAGGGGTTGGGTTTTTATTGTGATAAAATACACATACACATAACAAAAAATGTACCATCTTAGCTATTTGAAGTATACTGTTTGTTCAGTGAGATCAAATACATTCTTACTGTTGTGTAGCCATTACCACCATCCATATCCAGATCTCTTTTCTCGTAAAACTGAAGCTCCGTCTCCACTAGACACTAACTCCCATTCCCCTCCCCCAGCATACAGTACCCTTCTACTTTCCGTCTCTGAATCTGACTTCTCTGTGTACCTCATGCGAATGGAATCATCCATTATTTGTCCTTTTGTGACTGGATTACTTCCTTTAGCATAATGTCTTCAAGCTTCATCTATGTTGTAACAGGTACCAGAATTTCCCTTCTTTGTAAAGCTGAGTATATACCATATTTTGTTTATCCATTAATGTGTTGATGGGTAGTTTCCCTCTTTTGAACATGAGTTCAAATGAACTTTTTCATGTGAATACAAGTATACAAATGTCTGTTCAAACCCCTGCTTCCAGTTCTTTTGAGTATATCCCCAGGAGTGGCCTCCCTGGGTCATGATAATTTTGTTCTTAATTATTTGAGAAACCATCATATTGTTTTCCATGGTGATTGCACCGTTTTACATTCCTACTAGCAATTCCCAAGGGTCCCAGTTTTCTACTTCCTTGTCAGTACTTGGTATTTTCTGTCTCTCGTTTGTTTGGTAACAGCCCTCCAGCATTTCATTGTTGAGGGTTAGACGAGAGAATGCGTGAAAAGCACATGTGTAGTCTTGGCTCAGTAAGTGAGAGCTGCTTTTGGTATTTCAGGTTTTGCTTCTCTTTCTGTGGAAGTAGAGTAAATAATCGCTTCCTCAGAGGCCCCTCCAAATGCCTAGCTGTCATCGCACAGACCACTGGCCCCAGACCCCAAGGGTGCACTTGATAGTGGATTCAGCTTTGCTCTGAAAAGGCCTTAAGTGGCTCGGGGCCATGTCAGGCTTTGAGGTTCTCGAGGGGAGCAGCATGGCTTTTAAGGCACCCCAGAAGAGGGAATCCTTCCCGCAGTCTTACTGTTGCCTAGGTTCCCACAATCTTGCTGGTTTTATTACCAGGCCTAGTAAACATAGGCTGTTTCTATAAATAGAAGAGCAATGACAATATCCTGTCCCGTGAACTTCTAAGAAGAGCTATTGTGAGTAAGAACAAGGTTTTTCTTTGATTTATTATGGAAAGTTTAGAAAATGAGTGTATTTAACACTTGGTCAATTTTTTAAGGATATTTCAAATAGAATAACTAGTAAGGTGAACAATGGTCTTTATTTTCTTGAATGAGGCTGCCTATTGATGAAAAGGACAGGATGAATAGGAGTTTAGATGGGGAGACAGTTGGCTGGAGTGGTATTTCTCCCATGACCGTGACATCTGGAGGCGGGCTGAGAGAGGACCCACAGCACACTCTAGGCACTGGTGTTCAGGTGAGACGTGGGGTCATCCCCTGAACCGGGCCCTCTGCTTCTTCAGCAAAGGCTGCGCGTTTTAGCTGCAGATTTCTGTATACGTGGGCTGTGTCTGGGAAAGAGAAAGCCAGAGAAGTGGTGTTTGGATTAGAAAACCAGAAAGAATCCAGTCATCTTAAAAAAAAGAGAGAGAGACAGAAAGAATAAGAAACTTCCTTCAGCCTGGTGTTTTGTTCAAAAGATTCAGGACAGGTCTTTAGTAGGCATAGTTTGGTCAGCTTGATAGTATCTCACCCATCTATTTGAAAACAAAGAGAAATGTCAAAGTAATTTTTTTTTTAAATTTTAAAAATGTAAAAAATTGAAGTAGAGTTTATTTACAATGCTGTGTTAATTTCTGCTGCATAGTAAAGTTATTTGGTGTGTGTGTGTGTGTGTATATATATATATATATATTCTTTTCCAGACTAATAGTTTTCATCTAAATTTTGATTTTCCCTAAACGATCTCATTGGAGGACACTATTATTATATTCTGTATTTATCTATGTATGCGTGTGTCTATTTGTATTTCCTACTGTAGGCACACACACACACATACAAATATTATCTGTATATATAAGAATGGACACCAGTTTCACAGGGTAGTAGTTCATAAAATTATGGTGGCTTTTTTAAAGGAAAAAATATAAAGTAATTTACTTTGCAAAAGTTTCCAGAAACATGCCTGCATTCAGCACATCACTCAGCCACTCTCCACCCACCGCTCTCCCCTCGGTTCTCCCCGAAGCCCAAGTTCTGCTCTCTGCCTGGAAACTTGGTCCTGGTCCCATCCGGTCCCTGTGGGGACTCCTGTTCAGAGGCTCCCTGACAGCGATGAAGCACTGGTCATGGTAACCGGCAGCCAGAACTCACACTCCCTCCAGGGCCAGGCCCCTCCCATCCTTACTGATTTAAGCAAATACCAGGAAAAGCATATTTGAGAGCAAATCCAGACGCTCTGGTCTCTAAGTAGAACGATGAGAAAAACAGCAGCAGCGGCAGGAATAGGAGGGAAAAGCAGAGGAAGATGGCTGGGAGCCGTGGGAAGGGGAGACTGGGGGGACGGGGTGGGCAGCTGGGGGGCGGGAGACAGGGACACATCTGCCTTACAGGAGTGGCAGGACACGGAGCAGTCAGTAGCTCCATACTCTCCCTCCGACCCTAAGCAGGAGGCTGGAGGCTGAAGTATTCATGAGGAGGAAACTGGCGGCTCAGCTTCTGGAATCCCACTTGGGAAGAGCATGTGGTTTTAAGTGAGCTCAGCTGGGTGCTGGGCACCCAGGTCTCTGGGTCTCAATTGTGTCTGTCTCTCTGAAGCTCCAGAACCAGCCCTTGGGCCACGGGGAGCCACACTGGCCACTTGGGCAGAGGGGTCACACAGGACACAACAGCATCACGTCTTCAGGGCCTGGCCTTGTCATCCCGACTCTGTCCTCTCCTGTGTGTCCACCTGTGATCAGAGGCACAGGGTCTCGGCCGGGGAGAGGAGACACAGAGCCATGCCCATATGCAGCAGTCCATGGGGGAGAGTGGGCACGGGCCAGGACAGGCAGCTAAACCCACGTATGGCCGGGTTTGAATCTTGGGCTGTTTGTAGAGGACCACCATTCGATGTTTGAAGAAGTTGGTATTTGGATGAAGAATATATAGTTGCATCAGTTTTTAAATTTTCTGAGTTTGAAAATTTTAGAGTTATTATGTAAAAGGATATCTTTGTTCTTAGGGGAAAATGCTGAAATACTTAAGGATAAAAGGGAATGCTGTTATTGCAAGCTACTTGCAAATGTTTCAGAAAATAACAATTATTAAATATGTAGACATATATACGTACACATACACACACACATATGGAGAGAAAGAATGTAGCATAATGTGAATAACTGATGGGATATAGGGAGTCTTTTGCAGTATTCCTGAATTACTTCTCTCCTTTGAAATTGTTTCAAAATAAGAAGTTACAAAGTTGAAAAGCAGAAGGTAGGGAACTCTTAGGGTCATATTTTTGGTGCATGTTTCCCAGCTGTGTTAGAGTGCCTGGGTGTGTCTGCTCCAGCAGGTTCGGCCTGAGCCTGAGGCGAGCAGCTGCTGCTTTAAGACACATTGCTTCTCCAGGAAAGTGTGCTCACAGTCTGCATGGATAGACGGATATGCCCTGGTGGAGCCTCTTCATCCCACCTCCGTTGTCCCGGCTCATCCGAGTCCTGCCAGCACTGTGCAGACTCAGTTCTGTGCTAACCCTGTTGAGACAGGCGTGATCTCCGGCGGCTGTAGGGTCGGGCAGCTTGCAGCTGGTGGCTGGGAGCCGGGCCACAGCTCTTGTTTGCTTTGAAGAAAGAGTTCAGCTAAGAGATGAAGAGTAGTGAGACAAGTAGAGTGTTGATTAGCAGACAAGATACCTGGGGAGAAAGTGCTGGGCTGAAAGAGAGAGAGGGAGAGACCTGGGCACTCCCCTGTGTGCATGCTTATCTTTTAGCCAAGGTGGATTCCAGTGCGAGGGTCTCTGAGAGGGTTGCAGACATTTTATGGGTAAGTGTGCCTTCCCCTGAGGATCCTTTCTGAGCATGCACAGTCTGGGAGGTCTCCCTGACCCCAAGAATGAGGAATGTGTGGCCTCCTTATCACTGACCTAAGCAGGGCTTAACCCCTCTCTGTTCAGCCACTCCTTTTATCTTGAAGTGCCCACAGGAGACAGAGTCCAGCTGCTTATCCTATTCCTGTTATTATCTTTGTCTCAAAGCGTCAACAGGAGGCTAGTTGTAGGTGTCTAACCTGGGGCTTATCTATCTCCTTCCTCAAGAGGCCTCAGTCACCCACCCAGACCCAGGGGTGTCCCGTGTTGACCAGACCCCCGATTTTCCCTGTCTTTTTGCTGACACCGTGGACATGGTGTCCCTAGAGAGGGTCTCAGAGTCCTTCAGTCCTTCCAGACGCAGGGGGATAGTACTGACACCAACGGAGGTCTCCATAAGAGGCGGTGGAGGTGCTGCCGATGCGAGTGGATGACGGAACCGCTGGAAATGAGGACCTGGGAGACAGGAAGGGAGTGACAGTGCAAAGAAACCAGGTCAGGCGAAAGGCAGGCACAGTGCAGGGGGGCGGAGCACAAAGTGGGTTTGAGATTGTGTGTTTGTTCACCAAATATTCTATGGCCGCATATCCAGGCACTACGTGAGGCACGCGGTGTAACAGCAGGCACAGCCCCTGCTCTGTACCGGAGCTTGCAGGGGCCAGGAGAGGAAGAAGGCTGGCCCTGATGTGCGCTGAAGCCTCGTGAAGTGAGCGGGTGAAGGGGAAATGGTGCTGGTTAGAAAGTTTGGTGCCATATGGTGGGGGATGAGGGGGAATTCTTGAATATCAGGGAACCCACTTTTCTGCAGGTCCCATCAGCCTGACAGGTAGAACTCAAACTATATGTCCCAATAATAGTAACTATTTTAACACTTACAGTTTTCCAGACCCTGCTGGTGGTCCAGTAGTTAGGACTTCACCTTCCAAATGTGGGGGTGCATGTTGGATCCCTGCTCAGGGAGCTGAGATCCCATATGTGGGGTGCAGGTTGGATCCCTGGTCACGGAGCTGAGATCCCGTATGCCCCGCAACCAGGAGGCCCACACATGGCACAGAAGTGATGTCGTAACAGGTTCAGTAAAGACTTTAAAACTGGTCCACATTAAAAAAATTAAAAAAGCCCCACAAAACTAAAAGCTTTTCACCTCAAGCTGTCAATAGTGGCCTTGAGAATCAGGGGTTTCAAAACTTCAGGACCCTTCCCCTCTCTGGTGCCAGGGGTCCCTGTCTCCCAGCAGATGAGTGACTCCCATGCCCAGGCTCCGTGTTGGCCTTACCGCCAGGCTGCCTCTGGCTTCTCCTTGTAGGGAAGTTCTCAACCACCTCCCTCTCTTCTCTAGAAGGAAATGCATTTGTTTGGTTCTTACTTACTTTTGTTTGCCATTTATTTGTTGAACAGGTGAAGTGCTCCAGAGTTGGAAAGCAAAAGGTATAAAAGGTACATAACATAAAGGGTGTGTCCTTCCTCCCAGGCACCAGTCTTCCCAGAGGATGCATTTCTTTTGTATTTCTCCACAGATAGTCTCTGTATTAAGGTATGCATTTTTCTTCATTTTAAAGAACAAATTCTAGTACTTTTAGATACTGTTTTGTATTTGCATCTTTCACTTATTTAAAATATATCTTGGGGGAACTTCCCCAGCAGTCCAATAGCTAATACTTCACCTTCTAATGCAGGGAGTGTGAGCTCCATCCTTGGTCAGGGAGCTGAGATCCCACATGCCTTGAGGCCAAAAAACCAAAACAGAAAACAGAAGCAATTTTGTAATGAATTCACTAAAGACTTTAAAAATGGCCCACTTCAAAAATATCATTAAAAAATGAAATATTAAATATATCTTGGAATATTGGGGCTTCCTGCCCTGGTGGCTCAGACAGTAAAGAATCCACCCACAGTGTGGGAGACCTGGGTTGGGAAGATCCCCTGGAGGAGGGCAAGGCAACCCAGTCCATATTCTTGCCTGGAGAATCCCATGGACGGAGGAGCAACTAAGCAGAGCACAGCACATGGGAAACAAACCTGAAAAAGAAGATACATGAAGGAGGAGACAGACAGAACAGGCACCCTCTTGAAAGCAGAACTCCATCTTGGGCCAGACAGTGGACTTTGAGCTCTATGCCCAATATCTATGGAAACAACATACCAAGTGGAAAACTAGGCCCCCGGAAGGAAGAGCCCCAGGACTCATACCTAGACTCTCTGTTGCCTAAAAGAAAACTCTAATTATCTGTGTAACCAAATAGAATCATAAATTCTATTATGCTTCTTGAGGTATGACCACAGGCCTATTGATATTGTCCACTGTGAACTACCTAGGCTTAAGGCATATGAATCATGGGTTAACTTTGATTGTATCTTTCTTTTCCTTTGTTCAGACTAGTTTCAGGGAATTCAGGGAGGTGGGTTTGGGCACTTGTACACTTAGGGTATATAAGGTTTTCACAAAAATTGGTCGGGGTCCTTGGCTAAGAGGAGACTCTTTCTTGAGCCAGCCCATGTAATAAACTGCACTCCACTATCTGCATTGTCCTTCTGAGTGAGTTTGTTTCCCGGATCGCGTGGCTACAACATATATACTTATATGTATAATTGAGTCACTTTGCTGTACACCCAGAACTCACACACACTCTTAATCAAGTATATACTTCAATAAAAATTTAAAAAAAAATCATCTTGGAGGTAATGCACCATTGTTGCTGGAAGGGGGATGCCTTCCGGGGCCCGAAACTTGGCTCTGGTCTAACACTCAGAAATGAATTGTCTGAGGAGACACATCTGCTGACAAAGCAAGAGATTTTATTGGGAAAGGGCACTCGTACGGAGAGCAGGTGGTAAGGGAACCCAGGAGAACTGCTCTGCCACATGGCTTGCAGTCTTGGGTTTTATGGTGATGGGATTAGTTTCTGGGTTGTCTTTAGCCAATCATTCTCAGAGTCCTTCCTTGTTCAGCCAAGATGGATGCTAGAGAGGAGGATTCTGGGAGGTGGTCGGACACGTGGTGTCTTCTTTTGACCTTTCCTGTTTTGACTCTTCCTGTTGGTGGTGGCTTATTAGTTCTGTGTTCCTTACCAGGACCTCCTCTTGTAAAACAACTCATGAAAATGGTTACTATGGTGCCTGGCCAGGGTGGGCAGTTTCAGTCAGTGTGCTTCCCCTAACACCATTAGTAAGTGAGGCTTGTCCCATTCTTTCTGTGACTGCATTTATTGCATTATATACATGACCTGTGCTTTAGTTAACTGATTCTCTATTAATGGTTGGTTAGGTTTTTTCCAAACTCCTCCCATTATAATATGTATACAAATATAATGCAGGTGAAAATCCTAAAAGCAGAGTTGTTGAGTCAAAGGATATTAATGGATCCTGCTGGATTTCCTTCCACTGAAGTACTGATTGCCATGCCCACCAACCATTTTATCAGTGCATATTTTACCCCACACTGGCTGCCATAATAGTTACCATTTTTTTGACATTTATAATTTTGCAGGTGAAAAAAATGAAGACTCAATGATATTTTAACCTGCATTCCCCTTGTTATGAGCAGGTCTGTACATTTTTCATGTTCTATTTTCATTTTGTTTTAGAAGAACTTTCCCTTGGTCATTATATTTTTCAATCAAGTCATTTTTGTTTTTATTGAAAAGGAGCTTTTTATATATTAGACCAGATTGGCTCTTTGTTAGTGACACGAATTGCAAAAAGTATTTTTCAGTTGATTATTTGTCTTTTAGCTTTACTTATATTGATTTTTGCCATGCAGATTTTAAAACATTTGTATGTAAGTAGCTGACCAATTTTTTCTTTTATGGCTTCTATAATTTGTTTATGATTAGGAAAATATTCTTTATACCAAAATTATTTTTTAAAACTATCCCATGGGATCTTCTCATGATTTAATTTTTTATGTTAAAAATTTAAATCCACACTACATTTATCCTGGTGTAAGATGTGAAGTGTGAATTCTACTTCATGCTTCCACAGATGGTTACCCACTTGTCCCAATGTCATATTTTCTGCACTGATTTGACGTGCTATCCTTTCACACACTACATTTTCACTTATGCTTGGGCTTATTTGTGGGCTCTTGATTCCATCCCATTTATCTGACTATTTTTTCATCAGTATCACACTAGCCCCATGATTAACTGTCTTAATAGCTGCCTAGGCTGACCCACCATCACCCTCATTTTTCAGAAATGTTCAGACAGCTTTCCTTGCTTATTTCTACATCTTATCTTCATCATCAGTTTATCTAGTTAAACAATCTTGTTATTATCTTATTTGGATTGCTAATTTATGGGCTATTTATTTAGATAGTAAGCTGGGAGAAATGACATTTTTGATGGTTCTCAACCCAAGAATACAGTGGGCCTTTCCGTTCACTCAGGGCTTCCTTGGTGGCCCAGACGGTAAAGCGGTAAAGCGCTTGCCTGCAAAGCGGGAAACCTGGGTTGGGTCCTCGGGTTGGGCCCCCGGGTTGGGAAGATCCCCTGGAGAAGGAAATAGAAACACATTCTAGTACTCTTGCCTGGAAAATTCCGTGGATGGAGGAGCCTCTTGGCTACAGTCCATGGGATTGCAAAGAGTTGGACATGACTGACCAACTTCCCTATTTTTTATGTGTCCTACAGTAACATTTTAAATTTTTATAGGAATTTCACTTGTTTCTTCAGTTTTTTTTTAAAAGTAATTTTTCTTTTCTACCAGAAATTACTTTTTAATATATCTTCTAAGTCATCGTGATTAATTCAAGTGCATACTAAAGGAGACCTCGTTAACTATTTCTGTATATTAAATTAAAATTCAGTGTCCTTGACACAGACTTAGAGAACAGACTTATGGACACTGGGGTGGTGGGGTAAGGAGAAGGGGTGAAATGGAGAGGGTAGTGGGGCGACACTTATACTCCCACATGTAAAATAGATGGCCAATGGGAATTGGCTGTATGACTCAGGGAACTCAGCCAACCTATAACAACCTAGAGGGGCGGGATGGGTGGGGTGGGAGGTGACAGGCAGGTTCAAAAGGCTCTCCTCCAGGGGCCTAGGGTACCTGCTGGGCAGGTGTGCTCACAGGCTCAGCTCCGGTACAGTCCCTGAGTGTCTCATGAGCATTTTACTCAGGGAACTGGTGCCGCCTGTCTCCCTAGGGCCCTACAAGGGCACCTGGTTTCCCCTAGACCTCACCTCTGAGCCCTTTCCCTCTGCTGGGGCTCACAGAGCCCCGGAGTCCTCCTAGTGAGTTACTGAGCCCAAGGGGATCTTGGGGACCCCAACACCACAGATACTCTATTTCTAGTGGTGTCCTCCCCGCCCTATCCTCCTCGTTTGAAGACCAGTTATTAGCCCAGCAGCTGGTGCTCTCAGAAGGCCCTGCTTTCTTGCTATTCAGCTGAAGCACTGTCTCAGAGCCTGGGAGGCCTGTTAAGGTGCAAAGTTTGACTCCCATCCTGGGAGCTCCTGTGAGGAGGTCTGGGGAGAGAGGGCCCAGGTACCTGCGTGCCAACTAGGGCCCCAGAGACTTGGCCGTGATGGTTCTCGTGCAGCCCACGTGTCTGCTGGCTCTTTTCTTGGAGGTTTGTCCTCAGAGGTTTCCCTCTGATCTTGACTTCCCTGTGTACCCCACATCTGGCCCCGTCCTCTGGGGTGTGGGCATGGGGGAATGGATACTTCTCTGTGCCTTCTATTTTCAATCATTCCTCTTCACAGATACTGCTTTTCTATCCCTCAGTTCAACAAGCTCTCCTGTCAGGGCAGACGTCTGGATCCATGTCAACACTCAAAAGGCTGAGACGGGGTCTGGATTCCCTGATGGGCCCAAGAGCCTCCATCCTGGGTCCAACCATGCTATCAGTTTCTCTCTCCTCTAGGTGGGCAGACCCCAAACTGACCAAGTGCTCAGTAGTGGGTCATGTTGCTTAGACCTGCCCTGGGACCCCATCTATCCCTGGCTCAGAAGCTTCAATCAGGGATTAAGATGATCCAAAGGAAGTTCTTTAAAAGATTAAAGCCTTAACCCTATATGCAAAACAGAAAAAGAGACACAGATGTACAGAACAGACTTTTGGACTCTGTGGGAGAAGGTGAGGGTGGGATGTTCTGAGAAAATAGCATTGAAACAANCAAAAAGCTGTACACGTTTGAAAGTTTATCTGTCAGAGAAATTCCTGAAAGTGTAATTGCTGGGTCAAAAATATGCATCTTTGTAACTTTGATAGATATTAACAGGTTGCTCTCCAGAATGGTTGTGCTACTGTATACTCAGCTCCAGAATTTGAGGGAATAGCCATATCTTTGGCTACAAAGCTGGGGAGGGGATATCTTTCCACTATTCACACGCTGACACAGCAGCGTGGAGCAGTCGAAGAACCCTAAGATGGGACTCAGGAAATTCTTATAGCTTGGTGAAGCACAAAAATTGGAGTTTTGGAGGTCTAAAGACTGATTTTAACGTTGATGCACTATCCAGTAACAGGGCGAATCTGGGGCAGTTTACCGAATTTCCCTGAGTAAGCATAAGTGCTGCTGCCCTTGCGGTGTTGATGTGGAGGTGAAATAAGGTGGTGCTTATATAACAGCAGCGTTTGCCGAGTCCTGTCTCCCTCACCCATCAGCCTCCATGGCTCAGGCGCCCTTGCAGTGGGTGGGGTCACATGACTGGGTTCTGACCAATCAGGTGTGGGTAGAAGGCATGACCGACCATTTCCG